CAGTCGACGAGCCAAGGGTCCACTCCAACAACACCGATACTGTTCCCATTTAACCACCTGCATAATCCTCAGGTGTGAGGTTTTATCAAAAAAGGCCTTAGTGTTAATTAGAGTGGGGTAATTCTATTTAAATTGGTTTGCTTTCTTTCCCTTAGCCAATGTGGGACAAACAACCATGTGGAGCCATGTCAGGACTCACCCATCACACGGGGCCAATGGGGACCCACCCAATCGCGTGGCATCTTTGGCCTACGTGGAGCCATGTCGTGACTCACCCATCGTGCGGGGCCAAATGGGGACCCACCCAATCACGTGGCTACATGGGCCCACCTCCTGGCTCTGATACCAAGATAGAATTCTAGGGTTTTCATGAATATTAATCTGATTTATTCTTCTCACATAGAGGAATATATATATAAGCTTACACAAATCTCCTACAAACTCGAAAACAAGTATCCTAAATATACTAGGATATCTATTACAAAATCTCATGCCCAAAATATCCCTACATTCCTTATTTCCCAAAGGTTGACTCATGGCAACACTCCCCTTCAAGTTGGTGTGTAGATATCACCTAGGTCCAACTTGTTAAGTGAGTCCTGAAACACTCTTGATGACACAGAGTTAATACATCGGCCAACTGAACTTCAGATCTCACATACGAAATATCAATCAACTTAACATCCAACTTCTCTTTGATAAAATGTCCATCCACCTTAACATGTTTCGTATGATCATGCTGAACTGGATTATTAGCTATTTCTCTCGCGGCTTGATTATCATAATACAACAGCATCGCTCCATGTGGTTTGAACCCAATCTCGGTCAGGAGGATTCTTAGCCACAACAATTCACAAATCCCATGTGCCATACCACGGTATTCGGCCTCCGCAATGGATCTAGCAACCACATTCGGCTTCTTGCTCCTCTAAGTTACAAGATTACCTCCAACAAATGTAAAGTACCCTGATGTAGAGCGTCTATCAGTAATGTTTCCAGCCCAATCAACATCTGTGTATTCTTTTACCTTCAAATGCCCATGTTTCCTCAAAATCAACCATTTTCCAGGTGCACCTTTCAAATAACTCAAAATTCGCATTACTGTAGCCATGTGATCTTCACTAGGGGAATGCATGAATTGACTTACCACACTTACATCATATGTAATATTTGGCCTCGTGAGAGACAAGTAAATCAACCTTCCTACTAGCCTCTGGTACCTTTCTCTATTTGCTAGGACTTGGTTAGGATAAATCGCTAGATGATGATTCTGAACTATAGGCGTTTTTGCTGGTTTGCACGCTAACATCTCTGTCTCAGACAATAGATCCAAAACATACTTCCATTGTGACAAGTAAATACCCTCACAAGAACGAGCAACTTCAATTCCCAAGAAGTACTTCAAGCCTCCTAAGTCTTTCATCTCAAACTCCGAAGAGAGATACCTCTGTAGTCTCTTCATCTTTTCAACATCATCACCAATAACTACCATATCATCCACATAAATTATTAACAAGGTGACCTTACCTTCTCTACTTTTAATAAACAAAGTGTGATCCGCATTTCCTTGTCGGTAACCATATTTCTTCATTGCCACCGTGAATCTTCCAAACCACGCCCTAGGTGATTGTTTGAGTCCATAAAGAGCTTTTCGCAACCTACACATTTTGCCCACTCTGTTCGGCACTTCATACCCGGGTGGAAGCTCCATGTAAACTTCTTTTTCTAGGTCTCCATGTAGAAAAGCATTTTTTACGTCAAATTGCTTCAACGGTCAATCAAAATTAGCAGCTAAAAACAAAAGAACTCGAATAATGTTCATGTTTGCTACTAGGGCAAATGTTTCTTGATAATCTACTCTGCAAGTCTGTGTGTACCCCTTAGCAACCAACCTTGCCTTATATCTGTCAATACTCCCATCTGCATTGTGTTTGATGGTGAATACCTATTTGCACCCCACTAGTCTTTTCCCATGTGGTAGTGACTCCACGCTCCAAGTCTTATTTTTCTGTAGAGCCTTCATATCGACTTTCATTGCTTTTATCCATCGAGGATCTAGCAAAGCTTCTTCCACTCTTGTTGGGATTTTGATTCCATCCATTGTATTCACCATGGCTTGGTACTTAGAGGACAATCGATGAGTAGAAACATACTTTGCAATAGCATATCTGACTTTTCCATAAGGAGAATACCTATCAGGTGGTTTCCCACGATTTTGTCTAGATGGCAACATATACATACTTTCAATATTAGTCAAATTACGAGCTCCATCAAGTTGGGATAAACTTACATCATGGATATTCTCGAGCACATGGAGGGTACAACTATAAGAAGGTTATTTGCTGTTTCGTTGCTGCCTTGATATTGTGCACTTGACTGTGCACTTAACCATACGCTAGACTGCCCACTGACCTGTGCGCTAGGCTGTGCCAAGCCCTCAGGCCTATTCCCCGACTGGAGCTCATTTGCTGTTTCATTGTTCTCCAAACCAGCCAAGCCCAGATTTGGCTCACTCACACTACTGGGCTCAAACTCACAGATTGGGAAAACTGGCAGTTGTTGGCTCTGCTAGCAGATGCTGTCACCGTGGCAGATATCATGTTGGCAGGTGTTATACTGCTGGGTTGCTCGGTGACCATCCTCTTGCCTAGTTGGAAGATCAATCCAACTGTAATCTTCATGTGTGCGTATCTCCCCTTGAAGGTTATAGTTGGTGTGATTAGTGACAAAGAAAATCTCATGCTCAGAAAACGTAACATCCATGGTGACATACGTATGCTTGGTGAGTAGGTGGTAACACCGGTGCCTTTTTGGCTGACCATTAAATCCCAAAAATATACATCTAAGCTTACACAAGCAATTTAAATAGAATTACCCCACTCTAACAATCACCGAGGCCTTTTGTATTAAAACCTCACACTTGACAGATTGTGCAGGTGGCCAAATGGGGACAACATCGGTGTTGTTGGAGTGGACCATTGGCCCGTCTACCTAAAAAAATTCTAGATTGGTATCAAAGCCAGTAGACGGGCCCGTACTGCCACGTGAACTGGTGGGTCCCCTTTGACCTCGCACGAACAGGTGAGCCCTGACTTGGCTCCACATAGGCCAAGAGATGCCATGTGAATGGGTAGGTCCCCATTGGCCCCGCGCAAACGGATGAGCCCCGACTTGGCTTGCCAATGTGTGGAACTCCACATGTGACCCATAAAGTGGGGTCTCACGTGCAAGGGAGTGTTAGAATTCCTTTATACCACCTCGGCCAGAAGGCTTGAGAACAAACAATTTAAATATAATTACCCCACTCTAACTATCACTGAGGCCTTTTGTATTAAAACCTCACACCTGATGAATTGAGCAGGTAGCCAAGTGGGGACAGTATCGGTGTTGTTAGAGTGGGTCATCGGCCCGTCTACCTAAAAAATTCCAAAGTCCAAACTGATTGATCAAAATAACAATTTCATCAAATATCACCCAAGCACTAAAAGCTGTAGCTAGCAATTCATGTTGTTAAAGGAGAAAGTGGAAACAAAGCCTTTTGAAGCAACTAAGCATAAAACCAAGTATGAAACCAAAATTGTCTTCTTGATGAATTAAACCAAGCCTCTTGTCAAAGGAGAAAGCAAACCCACCTGTGATTCCTAATGTGCAGTGGAGAAGGGAATAAGAAAATCCCCCAAGCATTTTCAGGTACAAACACAATAAAAAGAAGAAAGAAAAAATGCACATCTGTTACATTTGAATGAGTAAACAATCTCTGATTCAAATGATTTTTTTGTAGAATGATCTTTAAATTGAGGATTAAGAAATTGAACCATTCTGATCATAAAATTTATATAATGAGAAAATGCTATTTACAAGAGTGAACTATTCAATCAAATGAAACTAAACATAGTTCCCCGCCAAATATACATATCCTGAAATTTTGTGGGGTCCTGTTCTGGTAACAAGAAACTCCATTGCTTAATTTGGTTGTACAACTATATTTTTTCTTGTGTCAAATAATTATATATTCGCCCCATTACACACGATCTACAGACCACCGACTTCAGTGTCAAAAATTATTGTTGGCCATCGTCATTGATGCCAGAATTTTTTTTTCAAGTCGCTACAAAATTTCAAGCCATTGTTCAACAATGTTCAACAATGACATAAAGATAGCAATAGGTAAAACTTTTTCATCTTGAATTCTGTTTGTTATGTGAGTTTACTGTTTTTTACATGCACACAATAAAAACTAGAGACCTTACAATAAAGTTCATCACCTAGTATGTTATGTTTAAAAGCAACTGTTGAACAGTGACCTAGAGACCGGAAATGGAATACCTTGACATGTCGGAACATTGTAGGATTGAGTGACAATTATGTACTAATTTTAAAATATATATAGTAGTATTTAGTGAATTATTTTGGTTGACTTTTTCATTAGTACCTAAACTAAAAATATGACTAAATTTTTTATTTAAACTAAAAAAACACCTCATGCTTAAACGCACCTGGTGAAGGTGGATTCCAAATCTCTGCATTTATTATCTGTGCATTTACACGTATTTAGACTAGTCGTGGCGGTTCAACTAATCTAACATAATTTAATTCTTCTACGTCGTATTTAGATTGAAATCCCCTTCGCATCATTTCATTCAGCATGTCTCTGCAAAATCACAAAAAACTTCCAGTGGTTGATGTGTGGTTCCAGCCATGTTTCTTGTCTTTTACCATAGAATGTCAAATTACAACAGGCTTAATATATGATGGATGCCTGAAGGGTAAGGAGTAATATCTTAGGATATGAATTTTGAATTTTGGGGTAACTGACATCAGTTCATCCTACGAATTATATGTCTTTTGCCGTGATCCAATAGAAAGACACGATTAATAATAAAAAATAAAAAGTCGAAGCACACCTATTTTCGTAACTACCCTATTTTTGTCACGCCGAAGGCAAATTGAATATTAGTTTTCGAAATTGAATTTTACATTTGGACAATTACGACAAAGTAGTTTAAGCTTTTCGATTACTTTGGCGTTGTGCTGCCGGCGGAAGAAAAGCGGGGTAGACGGCAAGAGAGAAGACTCATGGTGTGGGATAGATTTAGTTCAATAAATTAATTAAATCGTCAAAATTAGCCTAATTGCGTATAGATGTTAAGTTAAATGCAGAGACTCGGGACCGGTGGAGGTCGTCCTAGCTGAAACGCTGCTGGCAAGAAGAAGAAGAAAAAAAGGAAGTTGAAACCAAATTAAAGCATTAAATTTATTTATGATATGAAATAAAATATAAAAGCTAACGTCATTCCTATTTTGAAATTCTATTACCCGGTTGTTATATATTGAATCTTTGAGGGGGAGAGAGAGGGGGTGAGGGAGAGAGAGAGAGAGAGAGAGAGAGAGAGAGATGGCGGCAGTTTTGCTGGGCAAGCTTCTGATTGCCGTCGTGCTACTGATGCCGCATGCGGTGGTTCTGTGCAGTTTTCCCGCCACTCTAACTCTGGAGAGAGCTTTTCCAACAAATCACAAAGTGGAAATGAGTCAACTCAAAGCTCGAGATCGAGTCAGGCATGGAAGGATGTTGCAGCAGTCGCCAAGTGGTGTCGTCAGTTTCCCTGTTGGAGGAACCTTCAATCCATACCTTGTCGGGTAAATATAATTTCTTGCATATTCAGTAATTAATTAATGATTTAACTCTTGTTATTCCTTTCTGTATTGTTGATTTTGTTTTTTCTTGTAAATGTTGCAAAACATGTTTAGTTAGTCCACACGTCTTCTGTCGTGATAAATACTGGAAAATATAATAATTATATGTGCTTCGGAATCATGATGTAATTAATATATCATAATATTGTAGAAAAACAACGTTCTAATTCATTTGATTCACGTCTTAATATTTTATTAGCGTTGACTCAGACCCAATAATCATTGAGTTAATGCAAATACTTTTTTGAGTTACAGATATATATATATATATAGATATATATATATATATATATATATATCTGTAACTCAAAAAAGTATTTGCATTAACTCCTATTTTTCTTTTTTTGTTTTGTTTACTTGCTTTTGTTTTGTTAATAGTCTCCATGGTCATAAAGTATTCGGAAGGTAACCCTTGTGGTAAAAAAAATCGGATTTAAACCCTTGTGGTCTAAGTTTGTTAGAATTTATACCCAAAATTGAAACTTCCATCATTCATCCGTTAGTATCATGCACATGAGTGTCACATGTGAGGACAAGATGGTCATTTCATCCCCTGTTTCATCCCTTCCATAGTCACTCTCCATTCATAAACAAAGACATCACAAACTGAAATCGCATCCGGGTGCGCAACTGAATTCTTTGATTGAACAACTAATTGGCTTTTTGCCTTCTAGTTTGCTTTGTTTGTTTCCTTTTTGTTGCCTTCTTCCCTTTCAAAACCCTACACGTAAACCCCTATTTATACCACTAAGAAGGAGACCGACTGGAAAAAAGAAAAAACTTTCAAGCATAATAAGGAGGAGACAGACTGGAAAAAAAAAAGAAGAAACCAACTGGACAAAAAAAAAAAAGCCTTTGAAGCATAATAAGGAGGAGACCGACTGGGAAAAAAAGAAAAAAACTTTCAAGCATAAAACCACACATGGTGTATACGATTACGAACAAACCATTTTCAAAATAGAACAATCACCTAAAGTTATCCAAGATTGTAGCAATACCTGAGTATGTTGGTGCAACGTCTCCCTCAATTCTTTGCTTAGCCATCGATGTGGCTTTTCAAACATGAACCAAACCTTTGATTTCAATAAAAGAATTTTGTTCGTGCTTTAGAATTGGGAACGTCATGAGGGTTTTAGCTTAACTATTGGCATGCTACTAACTATGAAATGACCATCTAATCCTCACATATGAGACTCACGTGCATGCTACTAACAGAGGAATGACGGAAGTTTCAATTTTGGGTATAAATCCTAACAGACTTAGACCATAGGGGTTTAAATCTGAATTTTTTATACCATAGGGGCTATCTTCTGAATACCTTATGATCACGGGGATCATTTATCCGATTATGCCTAATATTTTATTAGCGTTTACTCAGACCCAATAATCATTGAATTAATGCAAATACTTCTTTGAGTTAGGCCCTTTAACAAAAGGGATCCCCATTTTTCTAAAAAAATGGGAACACCTTCTTGACCGTTGGATTGGCTTTAATGAAATTATGTGGTTGAGATTAAATCACAGTTCACACAATTTCATTAAAGTCAAATCCAACGGTCAAGAGGATATTCCCATTTTTTTAGAAAAATAGGGATACCTCATGTTAAAGGATTCGTATATATATATGTTTTTGTGTTGTTTACTTGCTTTTGTTTTGTTAATTACATTTCTTTTTGTTTTTTCTTCCGCTTTACTCATATTGGTTTTGAAGTAAAGATAGGGTTAGATTAGTTGGTTATAAAGTAACGACAAAGGGACGCAATCACATTATCTAATCCACATCATTACTTGGAAACAAGAGGGCAAACTTTTCGTTTTTCTGTTTGTTTTTTTTGTTTTGGGTTCCTTCAATTGTTTGTAGAATGACATGGGTTTGATAGGGTGCTTAAGGGACTGTATTTTAAGGAGGTCCTTTTGTAGCACTGACTCGGAATTTCACTTTCATCCTCGTAGTTTCTGTTGTTGCATTTTTGTTCTTGTAGTTTCATTAATTCCATCACAACCATTAGTTCAATCTGTTAAATGTCGAGAAATTCCTTCCTATTGGATTTTTGAAATGAGAAGATGCGAACAAAAAAAGGACAAAAAAATCAACTTCATTGACGGAATGGCTAAAGTGAATAAAAACAAAACTACAAGGACACAAATGTATCAAAAAACTACATGGACGAAAGTGAAAATCCAAGTAAACTCCATGGGCTATTAGTGCAGTATGGTCTTTTTAGAATACAAACTAGCTACTGATTAAAACAAAGAAAACCAAACAAGCTCATCAATATGTAACATACAGTTTATGTATTGATTCACAACACATAACAATTGTGTAGTATCAGAATCATTAAGTGATAGATTTTACACATACTTGTCTTATTTTGATAAATTGTTGTACTTCTTATATTGATTCCTTAATTTCTTCGGACTTATGACTTGATCGTAGGCTTTATTTTACAAGCGTGAAATTGGGTACACCTGCAACAGAGTACTATGTGCAGATTGATACCGGAAGTGATGTTTTGTGGGTTGGCTGCACTTCCTGCAATGGCTGCCCCCAATCGACTGGACTCAAAGTAAACTCATCACCTCTCTTAATCCTTCTCATCCTTCCTCTCCGAATTCAAATTTGTCAAGTTTTCGGAACATAGAAATAACATACTGCTGAACATTTTTCTTCATGCAGATCCAGCTGAAAGATTTTGATCCTAGTAGCTCCTCAACAGCCTCGTTGGTCTCTTGTTCGGATAAACTGTGTACCCTTGGACAGCAGACTCAAGATTCTCTCTGTGATGCACAGAATAAGCAGTGTACTTACGATTTCGAATACGGAGATGGCAGTGGCACATCAGGCTACTATGTATCAGACTTGTTGCTTCTTGACACAGCCGGCGGTGATCAGTCTGGTACCTCAAACTCTTCAGCTAAAGTTGTCTTTGGGTAAGTTATATGTTGTACTTTGCACTATAAGTAAGCACAACGGTCATATACTCTGTCCATATTTTGATTGAACATGGCCTCAAATGGTGTATTATGAAACAGTTGTAGCACCTCAGCAACAGGGGTCTTGCAGAAAACAGCTGCAGCAGTTGATGGGATTTTTGGATTTGGGCAGCAGGAACTTTCCGTCATCTCCCAGCTGTCTTCACAGGGATTAGCACCAAAAGTATTTTCTCACTGCTTTAGAGGAGATGACACCGGTGGAGGGATTTTGGTTCTTGGCGAGATCACGGAACCAAACATAGTTTATAGCCCACTTGTCCAGAATCAGTATGTGCAACAGTACAAGTAATATCTAAATTTCTTAACATATCATAAGCTCCACTTTGACAAGTGAACAGCTGTAAAATTTCACTTAAGTTTACGTGCATCATAAAAGATATTTTTAGTGATACATGAGGATTTTGAATCATATAACCTTTGGATGATTACGTTTAACTATATCTAATTGTTCATGTCCGAAATTTCAGGCCTCACTATAACTTAAATCTGAAGAACATTGCTGTTAATGGCCAAATACTGGACATTGCTTCATCAGTGTTTGCAACATCGGACACCCAAGGAACCATAGTTGACTCCGGGACAACTTTGGCATACCTTGCAGAAAATGCCTATGATCCTTTCGTCAACGCTGTAATATTTTTTGTTACAAATTTACTTTTCAATTGATCTCTTTTGTGTACCGGTGATTCGTTATCTCTTCGTACTTTCAAACTTAATTCAACCTGGATTACTGTTTGAATAACATGTTATTTCGTTGCTTTGCAGATAACAAGCGCTGTTTCACAATCCGTGACCCCTGTCACCTCTCAGGGAGAGCAGTGCTACATAGTCACTTCCAGGTTCACATTTTCAATATTTTGCACTATTCGTCATTGAGCATTGCTATTTCGTTCGAACTGTAATTCTTAAAGTGTGCATAACTCCGTTCAGCATCTCGACTGCATTTCCTCAAGTTAGCTTGAACTTTGATGGCAATGCATCCATGATTCTAAGACCCGAGGACTACCTTTTACAGCAGAACTCTATGGTGAGTATCTTTTTGTGTAGTTTTTATTTACTTCTGAGTGGTTTTTTGTTATATGACTCTGTCTACTTCTTACGCTGCATCTTGAACTGAAACCAAAGATTTCATCTTCTTTTTTATCCCGACTATAGAATGGTGATGAAGTATGGTGCATCGGCATCGCAAAAAATCAGGGTCAACAAACTGTATTAGGAGGTATGAAAAATGAATGCAACTTTTATTCAAGTTTGTTGCAACACCATTCACTAACAGCCTAAAGTTTTAAATCTTGATGAGCAGTCATTCATCAGATTGCTTGTGCAAATCCAACGGCTAACGCTATTAGCTCAAAAGTTTTCAACCCTTCCCATTGTGTTAGTTCTGTATGACAAATTTGACGAATTCGTTAAATATAAACTTGCACATTAGGTTCTAGTTTATATATACTCTCTTTCATAAAAGTAAATTTTGCTTGTGTGACTGGAAATCTGCTTGTCAGGTCATCACATCTGCTATAGCTTATTCATTCATATAATTGTGTCTAAATTTTTCCTTTCATTAAGATAACAGTAATATTTTCATCTTTTCCGATAGACCTCATCTTAAAAGACAAGATCATTGTGTATGATTTGGCGAATCAACGGATTGGTTGGGCTCAATATAACTGTAAGTTCGGATATTACTCTTATATCTTATTCCAAGTGTTCAGCACTCATTTCATCAGCCATATGAAAATCATATTCTGAAAGTACGAGCAAAAAAGCACCAGAAAATACTAGCGGTGTTTTTATTTGTGAATGTATGAACTATGAATATTTCTCTCAGGTTCACAGTCAGTCAGCGTTTCTACGAATACAAGTACCGGAACTGCATCTGTTAGTCCAGGGTCGATAGACCTTAGTGGTTCAGCGCGCAACGACCCCTTCAAGCTGATAACAACAAGCGTGATGGTTTTCCTTGTTCTCACGTCAATCATTCACATTGTCCCATCGCTGTAGCACTGGACATAGGCCCTGTTTGGCACCTTAGGGCGACAGATCTGGGGTTACCATTCTTGGTTTGATACTTGTGACGATTGTGCAGTTTCTCATGAGTTAACATGGTAGCATTCAGCGAGACCACACTCACTTTTACAGAAGTCATGTCAGCTATTCTTTACTCTATTTTCGGTTTTGGTTAGGGTTATTATTTCAACAGGCACACAGTACAAGTTTCATTATATTGATTAGCACCATTGTAAATGACATTCATAAATTTATGCATTTCATACATATATAGCAGTGGATTTTTGCTTCGTGGTACAGAATTTCGCTTCGAGGTTGCCAGCCCTCTGTTGAATTTCATTTATGTGAAAACCAGTATAACAAATTGGAATAAATAGATTAGTCACTTAACAACATTGACATTATCTTTCATGCCTAAGCTATCAATCAATAGGAAGTCCTAGTTGATAAACAGATATTCCATCTCAATTCAAATTCAAAATCAGCAGCATCTCAGCCGCTGCAACTGGAAACACAAACAGAAGCAATTCATTCCTCTTTAATTTCTATCTTGGTATCATCCGTTTCTGTCCCACGACAAACATCTCTTCCCTCATCATGACCTTAGCCGCTACCGCTGCCAATCCAATCCCTCACCCTAATGTTGCAAACTTTCTCACGATTAAATTAGACCACATTAAGTACCCCTGGTTGCGTGCACCATTTATTCCCCTTCTCAGAAGCCGTGGCCTGCTCTCCTTCATTGATGGGACGTCGGTCTGTCCTCCAGCCTTTGTTTCCGATGCTGAGAAGATTAAGTGACGAAATTAACCCTCTCTACGAAGCATGGATACAGCAAGATCAATTGGAACAGTCCTGGTTAATTAGTTCCTTAACTCCCAATGTTCTGTCTGTCATTGTGAACAAAACCTGTGCACCAGATGCATGGAAGACTCTGCAAGAATGGTATGCATCCTCATTGCATAACCGTGTCATCCAGCTCCCTTGCGAGCTTATGAACATGCGACGTCATGACCTCTCAATCACCGACTTCTTGGATAAAATCAACCCCTTGGCTGATCAAGTGGCACTCTGGTTCTCCCATAACATATGAAGACCTTGTGGCTACCATTATGAATAATGTGGGGCCTCTGTACGAGAACACCTGCCACGTCAGCGGTTAACAGAGGAGAGAGAAGCCATCATTATTTCAGGTGTGCCATTGTTGGCTTATACCAAAAGAAAAATTGAACTACATTATCAGTTTCAGTGAAAGCTTGTAGCACAAGTAAACCGAGCTTCTTATCTATGGAATTTGCCATTGATGGGTTATATTCCATGCTAAATCCCTTTTATGCCTGGCTTGTAAAGGGGCTTCAAATATTTTGTTTTATATATGCCAAGTAATAACCACAAACTGCTCAAATCCTATTAAGTTTGCAGCCTTTGCCTTTCAAGCCAATGGAAATGAAGGTTCTTCAATGCTCTTTCCTCTCTGGGATAAGGTAGGGTTTCTCTTCCTTCTTGATCAATGTATATTATCGTAACGTGACAATCTTATTTCTTAATGAAAAAAAAAAAGAAAGAAGGAAGGAAAGTCCTTGTAGCGCCAAACCCTGTGCAAATAATGAGGATCAACCACATGAAATTGTGAAATGATGAAATACTGGACACCGCTTGGTTTCGGTGAAGATTTCATCAAGTGTATAAAACTCTTTGGCTTGCTAATTTGTGTTCAAGGGCTTCGTAACTTACGTTACACTTAACATACTAATTTCTACCAAAAAATCACCAACTTCAACCAGAAAACAGGACTCAATATTATACTTGATATTTAGGGCCTTAATGTGTCAACTCCCCCGACCACTCCATTGAACAGCTTCCTCTTGAATTGTTACGCAACTTGTTAAAAAAAGTACACAATTTACATCGGGATATCTTCTTTTTGTAGGTTGCAGAAAGTTGAGGCGTTGCTGAAGATATTGCAACCAAAAGTTGTTCTGGTACTTGCATCTCTTTATGTATTGTAGATTTTCATTTTCTTGATATATGAGATTTCATCTCTTTAATTATTCCTCTGTTAATTTTCTACACAAGTAGTTACCTGAAGAGTTGAACCGGGATAGCTCTTCAATAACAAATTCCTTTCACTACCGCGTTAATGAAACATTTTGCGTATACCAAGCTTGAAGGACAGTCCAGAACTAGAAATTGCTAGTACATTGGGGTTAAACGGGGAGTTCTTCGTAGACCATGGCAGACAGCAAAGAGTCCTCAGAGTAGACGGCTGGTACATTGGGGTTCACCCAATTTGGAAAAGCTTTTGATAGTGTTGTCAACCAGAGACATCAAGGAAATGCTTGGAGAAGTACCAAATGTTTCTGAATCAGAAAGTGCTTCTCTAGTACATGTCCACCATCCAAACCAAGCTCTTGTAGAAGTCAGAGAGACAATCACTGTCATTAGTACAGCTGATGAAGGTTTAGCCTCCATCATTTTTGAAGCGATAGGTAGTGTTCTAGATGGCATTTAAATGAAGCAAGTATCACTTTGTTTTGTACAATTCTTATATTAGATTTTTGTGCATAATGTGTAATATGTTTGGTAGCCAGGCACTCGCTTATGCTGATTTTGATTCCTTATTCTCTGTATTCTCTCTAAAGATTTGCATTAGTTCCAAAATAATCACTGGGTAGAAATGAAGACCAACAATCCAGTTACTTATGCAAAAGCAGTTTTCCTTTGAAAATGAAAGCGAAACAAATCTTCGAATTATTTACAAACAGTCAATAGCATCAAAAATAAGCCACAAGTTTCGGTACTCTAAAATCAATCGAGGTCTAAACAGTAGTGAAATAGGTGCTTCTTGGTAGAATGAACTTAGAGTCTTTCTCCAATCAAGGTCAACAAGAAGTTTTTGTAGTCTCCTGATGTGTCACCTATAACGTCATCGACAAGGCTGGTTTTTGACATTTTTGAATACTCCTCTCTGATTTTGATCATGTCGATCTCAGCCCGGGTGACAATGGCTCTATTCAGAGAATCTTCATCCGTCCCAAGTCCGACAATGGAATCTTTGATGACCTGGTTGTAAAAAAAATTCCAGTGCGACGAAGGTTAAAACTGATATTAATACTTCAACAATTCAACCTAACACATTCATCAGTATTGGAGTCTAATTAACCAAAAACAATAATACTTCATATAAGTACTTTGTGCAGAGGCAATGAACTAACCTCTGCAAAGTATTTCGCAGGTGATGCTATGCACCAATATACCGCTATCAAGAGAGATTCCAATTCTCCATGGCCACAACTCTTAATGTCCTGTCAAGAAAAGTGCCAAGTTCCAAAGGAAGAACGAGGGATTAAAAAGAACGCAAGTATTCTGACTAGTGAAGGGTAGAGAAGTAGAGGTGATAAATACCTGGTCAATGGAATGTCCATACTTTTGCTTGTAGCACTCAAATGTTGCTCTGAGCTGGAAGAAGTTCCTTGTGCTGAGTATCCAAACAACATGATCGTGATCATATTGCTTTGTTTCAATGGCTTCGTGTAATCTAGATGCCTCTGAATTGGCAATGCCTGTATCCACCAGCTGTTTGTCGTACCTGTAGGAGGTCACTAAACCAACGAGAAGCTGTGCCAACCGACATGATGAGTCAATAGGATGCAATGTAAGAGTGGAATATAAGAAGTTTTTTAGGATAATTACTTTGAGAATCTTCACCTATTTCTAGGATATTTCCAGACGAACTGTTCGTAGTTGCCAAGCATCATAATAACGACTATTTACCAAAAAATTGAATCTGCTGCTCTTGAGAGAGGTAAATATGATTTTACCTTTCTGGTTGGGAGGGAAATGGTTGAGGCAATGTCCTCCTCAAGTGAACAATCAAACAGTGAACTGTAGACCTGCCTCACTGCCATCAAGTGGTTCGGAGAAGATGCGCAAGCTATCTCAACCAACACTTTTAGGTGTTTTACAACTTTCTTCTTCTTCGTCAGTACAACTCTCGCCAACTTTGCATCCCTTTCGGGAGGATCACGTGTCCACAAAATCACCACATCCTGTTACGCATCATTACTTGAATTGTTACTAATAAACCAACGGAAGAACATCAATAAAAATAATAACAACATGACATTCTTATGAAGGATTAAATCTGCGAATTGACGAATTCAGGTACTAGTTTTAAGACCGAAATTTGATGCATAAAGGGTTGGAGAAAATTACTCTGAAATCTCCCGAAAGTTCCGATTGGAGATCATCGATGAGGGATTTATTGTAAAGCTGTTGGTAAGTGTCTTTGATTTCCCTCCTTTGGCTTGCATTCCTGTGTCCTAATATCCATATCACAGCATCCTCGTCCGTTCCAAATCCTATATCCATTTACAATAAAAACTAATAAAATCAATTTTACATAAAACAATCATATTCTTTTGAATCAAGAAAAAAATATCAGAGATAAGAGAAGATGGGTGACATGCATAATAAAGCCACATATGTTTCATCCAATTAAAAACCATGAAGAAATCCAAACTCATTCCATTCAAATTTCACAAAGAGAATCAGAAATCTCATCATAACCCAACAAAGTTGATGAACCAAGATTGAATAAAACTTTCTTTTCTTCGACAAAGCGATATTCTAACCTAATCCAGCCTAAAGTTTATCGACGGGAATTCAAAGTGCAGTACGAGCCAACACACTGTTCTAGCCAACTTCGCTAGCCCAGTTCAGCCAGTGAATAAAACATTCAAAGACAGACGCAAAACCCTTCATCGAAACCATCGTAAATACTAATTGAATCATGTGTAAGAGTGAGTGAGTGAGAAGAAAACCATCAAAGGCTTTTTTGAGTCTTTGACAGTCTTGGTCGGGAGGAGGAACAGTTTCTGGTATTTTGAGACTGCCCATTGATCCGCTCATCAGCTTGTAACCTTTCTCTGAAGCTGAGCTTCCAGCCGAAGCGTTTTGTTTGGGAAGTGACGAGGTACGCTTTTTACCAAAGAACCTCCGCATTTAGCCGTTGCCTTCTCCTTATTCAGTTTTTTTCTTGCTCTTCTTCCGCCTCAACCTTCGCTGGAAAATCAAAGATTTTGTATCATCATCTTTTCATATTCACAAATTTGCCCTTATTCCAGACCAATAGAAAAGTTGCCCCTAAATTTTATATATTTTGAATTTACATGACTACCCTTTGACAAAAAAATAAATTTACATGACTACCCCTGTTTTGCGATGAAATATTTTGAGGCTATTTAATTCCATTATAGTACCTGAACTTTACCATTTTAAGATAGTTAAC